CAAATAGTCTGAGAGCAGTGGCTCATATCTGTAATCTCAGCCGCTCAGGAGGTGGAGATCAAGAGGATTGCACTTTGAGATCAACACAAGCAAAGCAAAAAGTAAACAAGATCTCATCCAAAAAAAAAAAATCTCAGCGAGGTGGCATGCACCGTCATCTCAACTACTTGTGAGGATCCTGGAACATGCCAACCCAAGCAAAAAAATCTCAAGAACTGACAGGAAAATTAATTACAGCAGAAATGGCTGAGGACTGTTCCTGGACAAAAGTCAACATGCTTTAATAATAAATGTTCTGGGGAAAAAAAATTGGAATAAAAAAGAGTTCCTGCATGCAGGCGTGTGTGTGTGTGTGTGTGTGTGTGTGAGAGAGAGAGAGAGAGAGAGAGAGAGAGAAACCTACAGCCAGCATTATATTAAACAGTAAAAAACTGAAATCATTTCCTCTAAAATTAGGAACTATTTTAAATGAGGGTGTCCAATCCCCTCATTCTCTTCTTTTTTTTTTTTCCCTGCTATCAGGGATTGAACTCAGGAGGCTTGTGTTCTCATTCAGCGTTCCTGCTCATGGATAGTAATCTATCACTTCATGGCCTTCAACCTGTCACTTTGCTGGTTAATAAGCGGAGAAAAAAAAATCAGAAAACAATCCTCTTCACACTATTCTCTAAGACAATAAAATAGCTGTTAGAACCAGGTTAAATTAAACAAATAGAGTATCAATTAGACCAAGGAAGAATAAAATTTAACTGGGATAAACAAGTCCCAGGTAACCTGAGAAACATAAGTACAGATCCTAGGAATGGAACAAACTGAGACCTGGCATTTACTGAAATTTGCAATGTGAGTAAGGATAGAGCCAAACTTGAAAGGCAGGATCTCCCTGGAGAGAAAAACTCCAGGCTAGTCATTAAAAGGAGAAATTCCAAAGATAAAGGCTAGTAGTAAATTGGTGAATTTAAACACCCGGTTACTAGAATTTGGTAAATAATAATGGAATACAGAAAGAGCCAGAAAACCCTGAAGGTGGTTTGATTTGGGATGTGATAAGTAAGAAGTCTGGAATGTGTTCTGGTCAATATGAACTAAACCCCAAACTGAGAAGTGAAAAAAAGGGAAATTGGGGAAAGAACATTGCCTTGTGACTTATTGCCTTGTCTACTGGAATGACTGGAATTGTAATCGCTATTTTGTAATCACTAACTGCTTCTGGAACTTGCCTCTTTGCCAATTGGGAAACTATCACTGGCCACCTGTGAGTGACCCCTTTGCTGTTTTTTTCCTTTTAAGCCTACCCCATTTTGAGCTGCATTGCTGTTCTTCACTGTCTTGGTATAGCGAGGGGCAGCTGCCGTGGCTATTAAATGATTCCTAGCCCTATTGACTGAATGTTGGTGACTCCTTTCATAGATTGTGGGTTCGAGTCCCACCAGCCCCTGGAAGTTGGGATACTTCAATAACTAGGAATTATTTTAGCTAAAGAAGTGAAAGAACTCTACCAAAAAACTATGAAACATTGATGTAACACTTGAAACTCTGAAACTATCATGTGAAAGCTAAGAGAAAACATTGGCAGATATAAGCATAGAAAACAACTTCCTGAGTAACTCAACAAAAAAGAACAAAGATCAAAAAATGGTATTACAAATCTTCTACACGGCAAAGGAAACAGTCACTAGACTGAAGAGACAACCTACAGAATGTGAGGAAATTTTTGCCAGCTATGCATCTGAGGAGGGGTTAATAACTAGAATATAGAGGGATCTCAAAAAGCTAAAGTCCAAAACAACCCCTCTTTACTAAATGGGCAAAAGAATTAGGGATAATTCTTGAAAAAGGAATTACAATTGGCCAATTCTTACATGAAGAAATGTTGAGCATCTCTGACCATAAAGGAAATGAATACCAAAACAACACTGAGATTTAATTTCACCCCAATCAGAGTGGCAATCTTCAAGGAAACAGAAAATTCTTGAGGAGGAAATTGGGGGAAAGAAACCCTTATGCACTGTTGGTGGGAATGTAAGTTAGGGTAACCACCATGGAAAGCAGTATGAAGGATCCTCACAATACTAAAAATAGAGCTGACAATACCACTCTGGGGCATAACTTGGTAGGAATATAAGTCAGATACAATGAAGGCACTGGCACACCCATGGTTACTACAGCACTACCTGCATAGTCAAGCTGTGAATCAGCCTAGGTGCCTTTTAGCTGACAAAATGAGTAAGTAAAATGGAGAACCTATAAAAAAAATAGAGCAATATGTAGCTATAAAGAAGAAAAAAATAATGTCATTTGCAGGAAAATGGTTAGAATTAGAGATTATTGTCATGTAAACAAGCCAGGTTCAGAAGGACAAAGGTTACATGCTTTGTCTCATATGTGTCTCTAGAGATAACATATATATATATACATATATATGTATGTGTAGAGATAGAGAGAGATACAAAGGAAAGTGTGGGAATAATTGTAGGACTCTTTAGGGGGTGAGGAGAGAGAGGGAAAGCAAATGATGAGGAAGGAAGGCAGTGAACAATACTGAAACACAGTGTGTCTATACATGAAGATGCCACGAAACAACTTCTAAAAGTTGGTACAATGCAATGGGATAGGGGATCAGCGTACAATGCATATACGTGCAAAATACTACAGTGAATACCCTTTGTGCAATTCTCATTAATTTCTTTTAGTGGGGAGAGATTAGTCATGGGGCTTGAAATTAGGGTGCTATCCCTGAGCTCAAGGCTAGCACTTGACCACTTGGAACCAGAGCTCCACTTCAGGTTTCCTGGTGGCTAATTGGAGATAAACATCCCACAGACTTTCCTGCTTGGACTACTTTCAAACTGTGATCCTCAGATCTCAGCCTCTGGAGTAGCTAGGATTGTCTACATTCCTAGCTGGCCACCAGTGCCCAGCAATACCTTCTTTTATTTTCCCCAAAGACTTTACAAGAAAAACAACTCATGTAAAAAGGACATGGGCCAGGCTCAAGAGATACAGTGCTTATCTATCAAGTGTAAGGTCCTAAGTTCAGGATTACCAAAAAAAGAAAACTATTAGCAGATGCATGGCATGTGCATCTTCAGTCTTCCTCCATGCCCGTGGGCTACAACCCTCACTGGATTGTGAAACACACAGCTGAGGCAGTCTCCTCCAAAGGAGATGGAGTAAAATTGTGTTAGCTCAATTCTTGAAACATCCCAAGATCTGAAAATATAGAGACTATAACCCTGTGGCCTACACCCCGGCCACTGAGCTCTTTTCAAATGCATCAAAGGGCATCATTGCATCTTCTCACTGATGCTCTCTATTAGCCAGCATAGGACTGACAAAGCAGGTTGCCGGCCTCTTCATCTCAGTTATACTTCATGTGGATTTCAATGGGCATCCTTAAATTCTATGATTCTGTCACCAGGAGAACATTCTGCTTTTAATTTGGATCCTTTTCCTGTTATCCATCCATTGACTCAGGAAATCAAATTTCATAGCAATATAGTTTGCAATTTTCCCCCTTGTCATGCATATCACTGCAAAATTTCTACTGTATTGTGTAAAATGTTAAAAGAGGAACAACTCTGGTCTTTTTCATGATTTATCTCTCTCACCCCCCAGGCATCTCACTTTCACCCCCTCAGATTCTGCTCCTCAGTTCTTACATTTCATATCTATTCCCCAAACCTCCCTTCTACCATCTGGTCCTAACAAACCCTGGTCTGGCTTGTAACAACTTTCTTGTTGTGTTATGAAGTTTCCATAAATAAACATTGTCTTTGGTCATTTGCTCTTATCTCTTTAACACAGAAAGATGCTAGTTGGGCAGGTCTTTTAAAAAATACCCTACACGTCCACACCAAAAAGTTAAAATTACAAACTTGTTTTTAAAAAAAATGCAAGGATGCTAGGCACGGGTTGTTCATGCCTGTAATCCTAGCTACTCAGGAGGCAAATATCTGAGTATCACAGTTTAAAGCCAGCTCAAGCAGGAAAGTCCAATAAACTACTCAGAAAAAGCTGGAAGTGGTACTTGGCTCGAGTGGGTAGAGCACTAGCTTTGAATACAAAGACACTCAGGGACAGTTCCCAGGCTCTGAGTTCAAGCCCCTATACCAACGGGAAAAAAAAGGCAAGGAAGGTATTGTGTCAGTTGACTATTACGTCAAAATTCAGTAAGTGAAAAGCATAGTCTCTTTTCTTTTTGCTTACAAAGTTAAATAGCACCAGAGTGGTTTTCTCTAAAGCAATGTATAAGCTCTTGTTATCATCTCCTGTATTTGATGCAAGTCAGTTGGGTGTAAGAAATTAGAAATCTTATCATTTTTGCTCTCATCCCAAATATGAAATAGGTGGAAAAAGTGAACAACCGTTCCATAAAAACACAAAGAAAAAATGGAGATGACAAATAATAGGCAAGAGAAGTATCCCTTTGATGGATGAATGTCAGGCCAAGTAGACAAAAACTTTTAGTGCTTTATAAAACATGGAAAGGGGAGAAATTTAAGTGAAAGATATCACCAAAGACACATAAAATTTCTGTTGATAGGAAGAAAGTTTCTTTCTGATTTTTAAATGGACAAAAAAATGGGAAAATCAAAACTATGATTCATCAGGAGAAACGCCAGCATTCTCAGAGTTTTAAGAGGAATACAACAAATCACTGTAAGTGGTAATGAGAGTGTTCTAGGGAAATGGCATAATTACTTATTTTCAGGAACCACAATTTCTAAATTGATTATAATGTCTGGTACTAATTGATGATTAATTGTTGAGTGCTTTGCACCTTCTAAGCACTCAATAAATATGATTGATTGAAATGTCACATACAAAACACAAAGTAACATTTACAAAGCAATTGTCCGAGCAACATATTAACTGGGAAAGTTAACACACACATGAAGATATAGTAGATATAAGATATAGTACAAAGAAGTAGAAGTAGATAGAAGATATAGAAGAATTAGTAAATGAATAATAACAGTAATAATAATAAGCCATACCTTCTCTGTGTCAATGCCTTTTGACATGGACCATGTAGAAACGATATAATCCATGACTCGTTCACTAAGGCCTTTGGGGACCTGATAGAGTTTTAGGAAGTCCCGAACATTATTTAGCATTTCATGGTATCGATTGGTGTTGGCATACATTTGCTGGAAAATTGTGGTAACATTTCCAAAAATAGTTGCATAAAGAAGAGCTGAAAGAGAAGAAATGATGAAAATAAAATAAATATCCTGCGAGAAAAAACATACAAAATTGACTAAATCAGGATGCACTTGATAGCAACGTCTTCATAAACTTACAGTTGTTGCTGCCTATGAAACTCGTCGGATCCTATCTAGAACCTGCTAGTCACTCGGAATCATCCAGATGATGCTAGGAGCAAGGCATCGCTCTAGCCAACATGACTAACCATGGTTAAAATGGTGGTTTTAAAAGAATGGTTAAAATAGCCCATAGGGAATCAAATGATGCAAATATGTATAATCTAGCCTTATAATTAAAGTTAGCCTCCAGTCTTGCACTTCTGAATTTAATCAACTGGAAATTTTCCAGGGATTAATGTCTGGGATTTAACATGTGTACACCTTCTTATGACTTAACTCCTACCAACTTTTGGAGTTCTTCTCTTGTTATAAATATTTTTGATAGAACATCAGCAATATAGGGACTGGAGACAAATTTTCAGGCTATTTGGGGGATAATTAGGATTGGGATTAAATAAAATCTGGGAGCCGGTGGCTCACATTTGTAATCCCAGCTACACAAGGGAGATCTGAAGGATCACAGTCCAAATCCAGCCTGGCAGAAAATTCTGTGAGACTCCATCTCCAAATAGTCAGTAAAAACCTAGGTTGGAGGTGTGGGTCAAGAGGTAGAGCACCAGCAAGCAAGCAGAATGCCTTGGGTTCAAATTCTGGTACCAGTAAAGATTCTTTGTTAATGTTGAAATAAAACTCTGAATGCCTGTAGTTATTAAACTCTTGTCAGTAGTCTAGTGACTACAAGCATTTTAAGAGTAAAGAAAGCTTGCTGACAACTATTATTTATCCACAAGAATATTTGTGAGCAGAAAGGACTGCTACTCCATCCTGAATTCATAATTCTACAAACCAATCTGGCCAGGCTAATAAACACTGACCTGCTACATCAAAACACTTTAAAAGTTGTTGAGTTTGGTCTAAACTGAACATGCTTCCTAATAAACTGAAAACCAGGCAGCAATGATTTCCATCTTGTACCCTGAAAATTTATGTCTCTAAGCAAAGCATGAGCTGATTCATCTTTCAGTTTCATCAAGCAAGTCCTATTTAATGAAAGTGGCACAAAAATCAAGCTGTGGAAGCAACTTCAGATCCATTATGCCATTCAGGAGAAATCACTTGTTTCTACAAGCACCATTGTTATCTTCTGAATAACAAATTGTAATTTCACAACAGAAATTGATTGTTTTTACAAGCATTTAGTTTTTTTCTACTGTTCTTTGGGGGAATTACATACCAATGCAGGACAATTTTTGAAATAGATGATATTTGGTCAACATTAAGTAGAAATATAATGTCCACATTTCTCAATGGAACTCTTTAAGCCTTTGGATATTCACATTTGAAAAGAAAAAAAAAAGCACAGGCTTTCTGCCCCTCTTCCACCATCACTGATACGAAGAATGACAGAGAAATAATTATTTAGAAGAACCATCTAGCAAGGACAGAATTTCATGTTTTCATAAAGAGAAATAAGGAGAAAATATGTTTTTAAAATAATGGACATTTTAAGAGTGTGTGAGATGATGTTCTGGCTCATGTTTTGGAAGAAGGCCCAATTTTCACAAATTTTCAATTAATGTCACAGAACTGCCTCTTGTTGTGATGTATTTAACTCGGCTCTCTAAGATAATTATAACATTCTGCATTTACTGAAATATCTTACTTACTGTTGCCTTCTTGTTTAACAAATTTCCACACAAAGAAGTGGAGCAAGATGGTAATAATGTCCCATAAATAAACATCTATCTGAATAAATATTCCTTCACACATAAAATCACCTTTGCAAGAGCTAAGGAAACAAGGTAACAGTACCTGGTTTCAGCAGAATGAAAAGGATTTCCCAGGACTACCCTCTCCAACTCCAAACAGTGTACTGTGCTTAGAGGAGAAGGAGAAAATTAAATCTAGACATTAGACTTGAAACTTATTACAGTCTTGCCAAGGTAAAATCCACTCCTGTAGCATCTCAGACCACTGCCTGCAAGCAGCCTGGTGCCACAGGACTTTTCTTCCATCACCCCCATTCGCTAACTCAAGGGACACAGTGTTGGGAAATGTTCCATCACTTGCAGAATAGGACAGGAAAGTAAGCAAAACTTAGTCGAAACTCAGAGCCAGGCTAGGGAAACCCAACACTGAGATTTCCATAGTTCTTGTCCATAGGCCGATGCTCACTGACAGGGTTTCTTGACCTGGTCTTGGTGCTAAGTAGAGACCCGAAGCCCTAATGGAATGGATATTCTAGCCAAAATCACTTCTAGCTGGCTGCACTAGTCTTGAGCTTGAGTATATCACATCAGCAAATATGACCTGTGCTTGTGCTGGTAAACTGTGTGGTGGCATACAGGGTACCTAGGAATCACAATATGAAACAAATGATTGTCCAGTGGGGGAAGAAGAGGTAGGTAGTTTTTGAGGAACCTATGTTCAGTGCCTCCACAGTAAGTATGAGACAGAATCCTGTGGCCTCTGATGGTAGGCCAGGCACTATGGGCAAGATATTTGGGCTTACCCTACTCTTAGGCAAAGACTTGCAGTGAGGAGGAACCAATGCTTGATAAGAAATGTACTCACTATCTTGCCCATGTAATTGTAACCCCTCTGTGTGGTATTTTCACAATAATAATTTTTAAAAAAGAATGACAAAAAAGAAGCTATACTTTCTTAGACATCCTTTTGATCAATCCTGAATAAAACCAAGTATGAATGCATCACAAAATGTGCTATGTGATTTCTTGTTTCTTTTGCATGTTCTTCCCCCTATGGTATATCCCCTGATGTCACTGCATTTGATTTTGGTACCCTGGTATTGTATATATATCTGAGTTAGGGAAGGAAAAGGGAACAATAGACTGGCGAGACAAAGGACAAGGTGGGAACCAATGCAACAGTGATATACATAAGACAATATGTTGGAAATGATCTGTACAACTTGGGGGAGTTGAGGGGAGGGATTGTAGGAGAAAAATGAGGGAAGGAGTAACAACTTTGACAATCAATGTATTATTACTTATGTAACTGTAACACCTCTGTACAGCACCTTGACAATAAAAAAAAATAAAGAAAAAAATTGGTCTCAAAATGCCCAATAGTGTTGGGCATTAGAGATAATGCAACCATGGCGGACTTGTAGCAAACCTGAAGCTAGTGTCACTTACTACTAAAATAGTTACAATGAACACAAGCTCAGAGAAAAGAAGCAACCTGCTTCCAATTTCTAAAACAAGAATAAACAAAGCAAAATTATGAAGTCTGGAATAAATACTTCCTCCTTCAAATATGCAGATATTCTTGCATGCCAATGAGCATTAAGAGCTTTCAGGAACCTATGATGACACATGATGTGTGTGCCACCCACAGTGATGATAAAAGCATGAAATCATAAATCTGTACAAACTCCTAGAGAATTTAAAAATTATGTAAACAAAACTGAGCAAACTTCAGGAAAACATTCAGTAACAATTCAATATCTAATCAGAGAAACTGAAGACGGAAATAATTTAAGAAACAATAGAGCTTGAAAGTACATGAATTGAGATTTTTAAAAGTATGATAGGAAGCATTGATAAATCAAATAAAAGCAATAATTGTAAGCTCAAGAAAGGTTAAATGAAAATATAGTCAGATAAAAATAATGAGGAAAGGAGTTCTGGGAAGATGGTGGAGGAGAACCTGGAGGCTAAAAATAATGAGGAAAGCATATGAGAACTCTCAAAGATCAACAATCAAACTCAGTTTAATCAAATCTATCACAAGACCTGATAAAATCAACCTCCCAAATGTTAAATACAAAGAGGAGATGCTCAAAACAGCAAGAGAAAACAGTGAACACATTGTGGTTTTTCAACTGCCCAACAGCAGGCTTCCTAGAAGAAACCTCGCAGTGATAAGGCATAGGATGAGATGGTCACATGACACAGGGAAAAAAACGCTAATAAAAACACTATACATTGCAAAGTTATCCTTCAGAACTAAAAAAGACATAAAGACATTCCCAGGCAAGTAAAAGCTCTAAGAATTTATTGCCACCAGATCTGACAGATTAAAAGGAAGAGATGTTAGTAAGATGAAAACATTGAAAGGTATAAACTTACTGGTAGGATTAACTATGCATACAAATTCAGAAAGACCTAAGATTGTGAACATGGTGCTTACAACATTTATATAACATCAAAACAATAACCACATTAGTATGTGAAAAGATAGCTATACAGAAAGAGGCAAAACAGAGTATCAAACATTCAAAATAATGCCAGGTGCTGGTGGCTCATGCCTGTAATCCTAGCTACCCAGGAGGCTAGATCTGAGGACTGTAGTTCAAAACCAGCCCACGCAGGAAAGTCCATGAGACTCAACCTCCAGTTAACCACAATAAGAGAAAAAGAAAAGCCATATGTGGATCTGCACCTCAACTGGTAGAACATTATTAGCCTTGAGCAAACAAACTCAGGGATAATGCCCAGGAAGGCCCTGAGTTCAAGCTGCAGAACTGGCACCAAAATTTCTTTCTTGCGATTGTTTCTAACGTATTTATAAGGTACTGTGTGATTTCTTTGTTGCTTTGTATGTCCCTCCCCAACGGTGTAACTCCTGTTTTCACTGTATTTGATGCTGGTATAAGTTGGGGAGGGGAAGGGAAAAAACAAAGTGTTTAAATAGGGATACAGGTGGACCCATTGCAACAAGACGCTATGTTGAAACTTTACAATTTAGGCAGGGAGTAAGGGGAGTGTAGTTGAAGAAGTGGGAGGGAAGGGATGGTAGGGGAAAAACAAAAGAGGAGGCAACAATGCTTGATAAGAAATGTACTCATTACCTTGCTCCATGTAACTGTAACCCCTCTGTACAGTATTTTCACAATAAAAACCTTATTTAAAAAATAATAATAAATAAGGAAACAAGACCTTTTATTTCTTTTTTAGTTTTTAAT